TATTTATAAAAGTATGTATATATGTTATAATGTATAACTTGACAAAGGTTGATAACCGAAAACGTTTGCTCACTATTAAATAAATATATACCTGGCAACTTATTACCTTCTCTCCGGAGTTTTCACACGCACGCACGCACACGCACACACATACATACATTATAACATACATACTTATATGTACAGTTGGGTCAAATTTGTGTGGTGGTTGAAAAATACAGGGGGAGTTTTTATGGCCCAAAATGGTGATTTCAGACCACATTGGTAATGTAATTCGACAGGCAAATTACAGTAACATTTTTAGCAAATTTCTTTGAAAAAATATCGTAGGCATAGGGCCTAGCTAGGTATACAGTATTTTCATTTTACAGTAGTTTGGAACGATATCGGAAGTGGGGGTGCTGGCAGTGGCCTGCTAACATTTATTTGAAAATATCTTGGGTCCGATCGTCCACACCAGTTGGGCCCAATCGTCTGTCACCCGAAGTTTTCATTACGATGATCAAGAACGTACACGATCTAGGCCCTAGGCTAGGCTTAGCTTTCTGCCGTCACTCTGCTATGTATATACTACCGCATAACAAAGAAGCGACCCACGTGGTGCATTCTTAAATATTACACACATTATTTAATTGTATTAGACGATAACACGATATCATTGATTGAACGATCTAACCACCCTCGCATCGCAGTAATACTGAACTAGGCCTAGCTTAGGCCTCATGTTTTTGTGGTGTTTTTGTCGTTATGTACCCGACAGTCGGCTGCCTTTATATTTTCACCTGTTTTCAGTTTGCATTCAAAGGGTATATTGTTGCACAGCCAACTGTCGGGGATATAGTACCTTCATATGACTACTCATACGTATACAACAGAAAAAAACGTCGCATGGACTTAGTGAAAAATGGAGATCAAAATGAAAAAACGATGTATTTCAGCCAGTATTAAAACATTTTAGTTTTATTTTAGGCCTTCTTCAAAATACCTATGCCTACAGCAGTTGATTTTTTTTGCCGTAAAACCAAAATAGTTTCATCCATGCCGACTTTTCGGTCGGTCAGCGTGAGCCCTGACTTCTGAACTCTGCAGAAACTTCACATCGATCTTCGCATCGCGATGTAAAACAAAATGTCGGAAAACTTTTCTTTGACGCATGCGCATTTGCATAAATGTCTACACACATACGCACACACACACTACATACAATAAAACACAAAGGAAAAACAGTGAAAGTGATTACAATAGTTCATATTGCATTACATGCATAGGAACTAAAAATGAGTATTCTGAACAGTTTGGTAAAGAAATGTATGACTCTGTATGACTAATAGTAACCGAAACAGATTTTTTTCCCAAAAATTTATAATTTTGCATAAAATCAGCTATTTTGACCCTTAGATGAAAGAATTCGCTTGGGATCCACCAGATTCGTAATCAGCATGGTCAAAATGCTCAAAATCAACTGGATCCCAGCTTCTACCTAAAAATGCCTATTGTATCATCATTTTTGGGATATGGAACCAGTCTAATACTATAATTTGAATAAAAGATAATTGTGTCATCGGTGAAAAGTACAAAATTTAATAAAGAAGAAGAGTAGGGAAGATCATTAACATATATTAAAAATAATAAGGTTCCAAGTATTGATTCTTGTGGGACACCACATAGTATTTTAGAAAGATGAGAATTGTAAGAGTTGACAGAAATATATTGTCTGTTGCCAAGGTAGCTTCTAAATAAATTGAGAGGAAGGCCATGAAGTCTATTATAATTATTGCTGATGGCCTTTGTTATTTCTGATGATGACATAATTAATGTCGAAATATTGAATCCCAACATGATGGCGTGCATTTTAATACTTGGAGTAGATTAATCAGTGGACCTTTCAGCCATTTTTTATTTGGTCTTATACATCAATAAGAGAAAAACTAGTGAAAAAAAAAATTTCTAAAGCCACATTGAAGTTTGTGAAGGATATTGTGTTTGTTAAATAATTTATTATAAATAAGGCGCTCTAAAATTAGAGGTGAATTTTACGTCGACAGGAAACCAGGCTTAAGCAAGCAACCAATCAAGCTAGCACACACAAACACTGTGATACCAATAGATTTTAGCTTCTTTAAGCAAATAAAAATCTGAAAGTTAAAAACATAAAGAACTGAAGCTTTTTAATTTGAAAAAAAAAAAATTATTAGTTTATTAAAAACATTATGAGCAGTGGTATCAAATTGATATTTACTTTACTCACAGTAGACTGTTAATAATGCGTATCCCTCAGCTGTGTTACCACTATAAAGTATCCAACACAAGTAGTAACCTGCATCCTGCACTTCAACGTTATGTATAATAAGGCTTCCATTGTCACTGAGGCTGTAATTACCATTGGTATTTTGGCTCCGACTTATATTAGATATAATACTATCCCCAAGTTTAACACCATATGCATCACACTTGAACCAGGCCAAATTTCCAAAAACATATTCTCCAAGTGGATATGTACACGTCATTACTGCATCTTCATCCAACCTTACTGCAGCAGGATTTACAGTCACAGATATGGCAAGGATTCCTGGAACTAAGCAAAATGTTTCAACTAAAATACAGTAATCCCTCCAATTACAGACTACTTCCAATTAAAGACCACTTTTTTGTGGCCCTGGTGAATACCAATCGTTGTATGAAGCAGAGGTGCTTAAGACCTTCAAACCTTGGTCCCTAAAGTGGTCTTTAATTGGTAGACTCTATATTAAATGATACTGCAAAAACCAATTAAAATTGTCGAAACTGTGGCATATCTAGGATTCTTGAAATAGGTGGTAGAGAGGCTGATGGGGACGTGAAGGTGGAGTTCGATGACAAAGTGAGGGGCACTAGGTTGCAAAATAAGGTGACTTGAGCAAGATGTTACTTTTAAAAAGTGGTGTAACAACAAGTCATGGGGCCCGGGGGTGAAAAATGTTGGGCCTCCATGCATATTAGTTTTGTAGACAATGCCAACAAATATTGTGTCACTATTTAACAATACCTGTATAATCAACTAATATTTGTACACAATTTCATTTTGAATATTTGGATGCGCAGCATAAATTAGGTCTATGTCTAAATTGTCATTTCTGTACATGAATTGCATTTATAGTATGCATAGGTTACATGCTTTAACATAATGTATCGATCTAAGTTCCAATGAAGATTTGCCAATGCCATAAACATTATCAAACAATCATTCAATCATAATCAGGGGTATATTCAGGGAGCAGGGGGATAGCTCCATCCCCTAATACTAAATAAACAGAGAGAAGAAAGTCCAGAAAGAGGAGAGCACATCTACTCAAACCAGAGCCTTGCAGGCGTCAACGTTCCTATGCATGATACACGAATTTTAGAAGTATATATACGTGTAATATATATATATATATATATTCAACTCTCCCAATACCGACCACCCAGAAAACCGGATTTCACGCAAAACCGGTCGTTTTTTAAAGTCCCAAAATCATTCCTATTCTTAGTGTATTAAAATACTTTCTGAAAAAAGGATTTCCCAATTCCGAATTCCGGCCAAATTCTTAAGTCCGGAACAATAAAATTACCGTCTGAAAACCGGACGGCCAGTTTAAAACGATGATTTATTGACGAAATATGTTAAATAAATCATCGGAGACACATCGACTG